TTATTTCACACTTTCAAACACTGAAAAGCTGTCATTTTTCCCAGCAAAAAATACAGAACATTCATCTTTCAGCAGAATTACTGTTGGCAGACATTCACTTCCACTATAAATCTTTTCTGAATATTCAAAGTGTTGAATTCTCTGTTGTGAATTCAAATTTCTCCATATGGGGAAATATGTGCAGTATCAATCAGAATATCTTGAAAAATTATGTGTGAAGAGCCTGATCATAACATTTACAGAACACACACACACACACACACACACACACTCAAATCTAATTTTCAGTAAACGCTATTCCCAACATCTCTACAAATGAATGTGAACAGTTATTATGAAAGAAGTATTATTTTTGTTAAGGTCTTGATACCTGAACGGCTAAACCCTCTTGCCCACTATTCAATTTACTGCCTTACACATTTCTTGCACAGAGGATATGCAAACAACAAAATGACATCACCTGTAAGTGTCTGAAAGTGTATCAGATTCAGAGAGCTGTGTCTTTACACCAGAAGGAGCTCCGATGAGACTTCAGTACAGAACCATAATAACATTCCTATTCACAGTCTGAAGCAGCAGCATTACAACACTGCTGTATTGAGACTGAGAAAGGAATCCTGTGATTGCAACACTGCAACCTTTGCAAGCACACTGCTTTCTGCCAGTTGTCACCAGCAGGGCCCAAGGCTTGTGGTTCAGCATGGAAACATCCCTCATCAGAAAGTACTATCCTATGGCCTGAGACAGCGGGAAGCAAAGGATACCATCTAATTTTAACATCAGCAAAGCCAGTTTTTAAATCCACAAAATATTAAGAGTGAACAGTTAACTGCCTGGTACACGCTGGGGCTAAGCACTACCACTGCAGTTAAAAGTAAGCGCTGTCATGTTTTACTAAAATCTTTCACCACCCACTTTCAGAAGAGACTCACTGAATTCTTGTTAAGCCACTCATGCATTTTTATTTCCAACCAACAAAATATATCCACTGGAAAAAAAGATACTGATTTGTTTTATAATTTGTTTATGAGCACCTGACTGTATTAACCACTACTCCCTTCCCCTATCCCCCTCCTCAAGGACAAACTCGGCAAGTCCTGAAGAGCTGCAGAGGATCATCTGCTACAACATTCTACAAAGGCACAGTCACAGCCACACAACTTCTTGTGTTGTTTACACAATAACCATTACACGGGATCAAGGTCAATTCTTGGGACAAGATAAAACAGTAGATGCAGGGAATTAAAATTTATAGCCCAGCTAAGTGTCACTTTCATTTTCTGATGTGCACAAACAGAGCTTTACCATTCAGATAAATTTGCTTAGAAAGGTCATGGTCGTGTCTGGAAACATAACAAAACATGTGGCTCATTTGAAGAGGATGAGAGGAAAACTGAGTGATGGAAGGCACTGGGCTACAAAGGGTTGGAGATTTTTAGAGGAAGCACAGAGTTCTAATGAGAGTAAAGCCTAAAAGAAGATGTGGCTTTGGTCCTTACCAGACACTAAGTCCTAAGTAGGCATACTGCTTTGGCCCGTGAGCACCTGCTTAAATCATAATTTTCTGAACAAAATTTAATATGGACAAAGTGTGTCAGACTTAACACACCTCTAGTGGTACCTTCAAAACTCAACTAAATTTAGGAAAGTAGAATCACAATAGATCATAAAGATTTTTAAACTGAATAATAATGTTTTACTTCCACTGGAATTTTATTACACCAGCAGGGATACGAAGAATGATGTGTGTTTTTTAGAGGTGTCATGATTCATGACTCAAAACTTAAGAAAAAGTTCTGTAACTTGAACAATGCTCTTTTTGTTACTGTTATTGTCACACTGCACAATCTATTCATCTCAAGTAAAAAAATCCACTAGGGGCTCATAATAATAATTAAGAATCTCTGACCCCAAGTTTGATCCTTGATCTAAAGTGATGGAACTATGTAGTTACCTATCAGAATATCCAGGTAAAATCCTTATGATTGGTTCTGATGACACCTGGCTGTACAGGAAGATTTCCATCAGATTTTGGGCCCAAGCCTCAGTCCTTTCAGTGATTTTATTCCATTCCTAATACTGAAATATTGATGATGATGAATTTGCTTCAGCATCTAATTTTGAAAATAAGTTCAACTATTTGATTTAACACCAAAAAGAACTACATTGGATTGTCTTTGCAATCTGCAGGAGTAAACTGATTACAAGGAATTTGCTGAGATTCCATTAGAAGTTTTACATTTTTAAAAATCAGTGTTTTTCCTCTCTTGTTGTTGAACTTCTCACGCCCTTGTCTTCAAGACTAGAAAAAACTCCCTACGGATCCAGAAATGTGCCAAGACGCAAACTGAGGGCTCTTATCTGACGTTAGGGGACATCAAAAACTCCATGTCTTGCAAAAACAGACTTCAGTTTCTAAGCGATGCCTAGGAGCATCCACACAGAGCTGGGATAGTTTACCTGCAGAAAAGACCATCTACAGCAGGAGAACTACACAGAATCTTTTAAAAACCAAACCAGATCAAAACTTTTCTTACAGCTGCTACAGCCTGCGAAGCAGACCTGCAGGCAGTCACACCAGACAAGGGATGTAACTTCTTCCATTCCTTATATACTCCTTAACAGTCTGGATTTACCTGCTCAGTTTTTGCCACGTGCAAGCCACCTGATATCTACCTACCCAAATCATCAAATGATTTTTTTTTTCATTCCCTGATGGAAGCGCCTCTTAGGCAGTGAGTGCAATTCAGTAACGCTGCCACAAGGGTCAGTCATGCCCTTTTTACCCCAAACAGCCATTGAACAGAAAAGGAGATAAACACCTGCTGTCACCCCCATCGGAGATGGATGGTGGGGACATCTGTGCATGCAATTCCCACACTGAAGCAGCTGCAAGTCATGTAAGCACAGGCAGCAAAACACATTCCAAATGAGGAACCTGCACCCTATCTCTTCCAAAGCAGCAAAACTTTGGCAAACTGTTTTATGCTCCTACTTGTAACAGCAATGACATCTTGGGGAAAACTGAGGAACACTTTCAGTTCAAGAACTGGCTTTGGTAAGGGGTTCTAAGACACTTCATGGACTACTGTCCAAAGTAATGTTCTCTCTTTCAGGAGAGTTTGTAGAGGAAATAGGCATTAGTGAGGCTGAAGTATAGTTTGTAATAGCTGACATAGATCCACGTTTCACTTAACAGCCTTAATAAAAATTCTGATGACTTCTCTATCTGACTCCCTGGATATCTTTAATTAACAGGAGCGGACTACTAATGAGAAACTTAACATTAGACAATAAAACATTTGTACAGCCACTTCAAGCTTTCTGAAAAGACAAGACATAGGCAGGTCTAGGAAGAGAACCAACCCCCTTAAGGGACATAAGCCACCCGCGGACCTTCACTGGTAACACAGAACCATGGAATATCCTCGGAAGGGATCCATCACGAACATCGAGTCCATGGACCATCTACTCCTAGCCCTGCACAGGACACTCCAAGAATTACATCTTGTGATTGAGACTACTGCCAAACGCTTCTTGAACTCTGTCAGGTTGGTGCTGTAACCACTTCCCTGGGGAGCCTGCTCCAGTGCCCAGCTATCCTCTGGGTGAAGAATCTTTGCCTAATATCCAGCCTAAACTTCTCTGTGACACAGTTTGGTGCCGTTCCCTTGGGTTTTGTCACTGGGCACAAGGGAGCCGGGATCGGCGCTGCTCTTCGTGGGGAAGTCACAGCCTGAGATCTCATCCCCAAACCCTTTCCTTTCCACCCAGATGCTGCAGCAGCAGCCCACCACGGAGCAAACACGCCCATCCAGCGTCATCTCCCCACCAAGAAACCAATCTCCCACCCCACTTTCTTGTGTCGCGGCGGACACGCTTCAACGCCGGACAAGGCGGACTCGCCAAAGGGAAGGCAGCCGGGAGGAGGGCGCGAGCAGCCCCCTCCCCGCCACAAGCCGGTGCGCTGGGGAATCCGTCCCGATCCCGCGGGTACCTCGTGCCGGGCCCGCGCCGCTCCTCACGGACCCCGCGAGCCTCGGGCACGCTCCGGTGTCACCAACGGCCGCTCTCGTCACACCCCTCCCCCCCCGCCCCCGCCCGCCCCGCGCAACGTGCGGCGGCGCCCGTCCCCACCATCACCTTCAGGCCCGGCGGCGCACTCCCATTGCGCAGGCGCATGAACAGCCCCCTTCTCGCACGGCCCCTTGGGACTCGTAGTCCCTATGGCGCGGCTCGGACTCCGCCACCTTTCACAGAGCCAAGGTCGGAAGCGACTTTTAAGACCACCCTGCCCAATTGTCACTGACACTGTGAACCCCTAACCCAAATCACCCAGCGCCAGATCCAGACGTCTCTTAAACACCTCTAGGGAGGGTAACTCCACCACCTCCCCGGGCAACCTATTCCAACTCCTGAGCATCCTAACAGTGAAAAATCTGTTCGAGTGTCTAATCGGAATCTCCCCTCTCTCATGTTAAGACCGTTTCCTCCGGTCCACTCAGTGCAGGCGCGGTAGAAGAAACCGGTGCCAGCTCACTGCAACCTCCTATCAGGCAGTTGTAGAGAGCGATGAGGCTCCCCGCGAGCCTCCTTTTCTGCAGTCTAAACAACTCCAGCTCCCCAGCCGCTCCTCACAAATCACGGCGCACGGCGCACGCCGCCGTGTTTTCCCCGCTCCCTTTCCCGGCGGTCCATCCCAGGATGTGACGCCCACCGTGGGTGTTCGTCACTTCCGCAAACAGGGATGGCGGAACGCTGAGCCGGGTGAGTGTCGGGCCGGATGAGTGCAGGGCCGCCTTCCCTACCTCCGGGCGCACCGGGAAGGGAGGGCCCGGCGCTCTCGGCCTCGCCGGATGGCGGGGCCGGGGTGACCGCAAAGAAGCGACGGGCGGTTAACGGGAGCGGAGGCCCTGAGGCCTCCCAGCCGCGTCACGGGGGAAGGGAAGGAGGGAAGGAAGAAAGGAGGGGGCGGGAGAGTTCCGAGGCCGGCGGGGCCATTCGCACATCGCTCCACGCGCTTTGAGCTCTCTGGCTGAAGGAGCTGCTGCTGCCGCGGGGCACTTGGTTGCCGTCGCTAGTTGTGAAAGTCGGATCGTTTCACACTTTAGGCCTCCAAAACATCTGCTTGGAATAGCCGAGTGAGGATAAGGAAGGGTCTGCTGCTGCTGCTTCGCAAACCAAGTCAGGTGCTGCGCAGTAGTGGAAGAATTAATTTTATGAGTCGTACTTTGAGCCATTTGTTTTGAGGAAAGCTGCTCTGGTGCCTCTGTGTAGTGGCCCACTCAGTAGATGTGTTCTGGCCCTCATTAGGAGGTGAGGCTGGATACGGTAGATTTGAATTTGATTTTTGAATTTTTATTTTTTTTTTTTTGGCCGTTCTAGGCTACTATTTCAGAAAAGGAGTTGCCAAATTGCCCTCTCCCATGCCTTGTTAGAAAGTAGATGCTCTGCTTTCCAGTGGTGTAAAGAAGGCTGGGATGTGCTGGAGACCAAATGAGCTATGTGGCAGTCGTTTGCAGTCCTGCAGCCTCTGTAGGTATTTGTGAGGTAGAGATGTGGAAATGCAGGTGCCACTTCATATTAGTTAAGCTCAGAGCATAGTGGATATTCTTGGCAAACTGGAAAGTCCACAACTGGTAAGATAATTTGCTCATAAAAACCCATCATGATCTTCTATTTGAAGACATCCATTTCAAAGCATATCAGTTTAAATAACAAATTTGCTAATTTGAGAGAACCTGTCTGTTTGTGTTTCTAAACATAAATTGATATGTAGGTTACTTTTTATGGGAAAGGAAAGAGAAAAAAACATTTGGCAGTTGAGTCAATAAAGATACGTAAGAATGATTCTAAAATGAAAAGTAAGAATTTGTCTTAATTTGAACTCATTTAATAATTACTTTTAAGTTCCACATATTTTATTGAGCTATTTTTTTAAACAACTAGTCAAATTTGAAGTCTGTATGTTGCCTAGGGTGAAATGCCAATGTTATGTTTGAAAGTCACAATTGTAACCACGAATAAGTGAAATTCAGCACTGAAAATTCTTGGTGGCTTGTTTCTTTTCCCTCTAGATTTCCCTTCTGATTAGTGGACCGGTCAGAATGGCTGAAGTAACCAAGACAGAAGAACAGCAAGTAGAGAAGAGTTTGGATGAAGAAGTGGAGAAAATACCTCATGCTTTAGAGTCAGCTTCGGATGTTGGGTGTGAAGGCAATAGTTCTGCTTCAGGTACAAATCAGTCCACTGAAAATGAAAAACAAGTTGATAGTGGTGGTCAGGATGGCAGAGCAAAGAGGAAGAACTTAGACTCTGAAGATGGACCTTCTAAGAAAGCGGTGAGTATCATTTGTTTTGAGCTGTTTTCAAATCCTTGTTTCGAAGCCTTAGCTCAAGAAAAGATTGAAAATATTTATTCTAGACATGTGTGAGCCAGCACGAAACACCAAGTATGGAAATGTTTCCTAGGGAAGTAACAGGTGCACAAGTGATGTTGGGCTTCACAGAGGACAAAGAAGGCTGGCAATTAGAATAATAATCTCAGCACATACTTAGATTAGTCAGATTAGTCTGATTCTAAGACTCTTCTATCATCCATGTGGTAGCAATTTGGTAGTTGAGTGTAGGGTTTACTGGCATTAGTCCAAGTTCTATATCTTGAACCCAGATCTCATGTATGTTATTTATCTATGTGTTGGTACAGTTACCTGTGCTTGGAATATTCTTCCATAAGGTAATTTTGTGCTTTTATTTCCTTATTAAGGTACTGTAGAGTTTGCAAAACTCTGCAGACTGCATCCTCTGTGATGTAATTTCAATATGATTTGTTGACAGAGTGAAGCAGTGAAAGACTTACAGGGGGTTCTTTGTTTTAAGACTACAAAAGTAGCAGAAAATGTATGCCCTTTTATATGTCCACCTGGGAGGTAAAAAGGGTAATATTTTACATGATGCTGTCCTTTGTTATGTATGAGGTTGTAGAAGCTGATGCTTTAACATCCAGTCTAGTTCATCCTTTTGGGATATTTAAATAAGATTTGAAAATGTCTGACCTAGTGTTTTGTTTCTTTGCCCAGAATTTTCCCAGGATAATATATGGCTTAGTAGTCTGCCAAAATAAAGGGTGCTCTTTGTTGTGGTAGAAACATTATTAACCCTTTCATCCTTTTAATAAGGCTTAGAGGAACAAGAATTATCTTGGGTTTGTGTAGCCTAAGGGTGTAGAGAGTTGACTGAACATAGTTGCCACCACCTAGATATTGTTGCTGATGGCTGTTTGTAGCTGAGATGTGTTAATGGTCTGTATGAGTATGTCCCCACACTTGTCTGAGTCAGCTGTTCTGGCTTCTGTCACCTTCAGTGGCCATTCAGGGAGCCATCTGTGCTTACCCTGAAAAAGAATAGAAGTTGTCAAAATATGTTAGTATCGGTCAGCCCAGTGTGGTAATAAACAGATGATGAGGTTATAGAGATTTCAGACAAGTAAGGCTGTGTTTATTCTGAATGTTACCAAAAGTATATGAAACACTGGAGAATTCACATATATCAGCCAAACCTTCTTTTCCCTTGAGGAGCTGCTATTTGAATAGTAAGATTCGGGGATATTGACTTCGGTAGTGAACTCCTAGGAATGCTTTTAATGGCTTCATTCTGGTTTGTACTGTTATTTCAAATGCTTTTGTACCTCACATAGTCCATGCTGATTGTCTCTGTTCTGTTACTTTGAATTTTATTTAGAATTTATTTTCACTTCATGTACATAGTTGAAGATTATTTTCAAGGTGAAGAAATGTTGGGAGCATAATATCTGAATGTAGACTGCTTCTCTGCATAACAGGGTAGAGAAGTGTCTTGTAGTACTTAAAGCTAAGGCTGGACAGAAATCTTTTGGAGTATTTTGAGTTAAGGCTAAATCAGAGACATTTCTACAGCTAACTCTTAAGCATTAGATGGAATATGTTGTCAAATGATTCCTCTCATTCCTTTATCATGATCTGTTTAAAGCTCTGTCAGTGGGGTTATCCACTTGGACTGCAATGTGGCATCAGCCAGTTGGCATTTTGGTTAAATTGGCAGTTTATACACTTCTGTCAGATGAAAACACTGAATTTCTGAAACAGGCTCTTTGAAGAGGCTTAAAGTTCCTTGAGAAGGAGCATCCTCTTCTTCTGTCCCAGACTTAAGAAGAATGAAGTGTGTTCTTTGACAGTGGTTGAGAGTATTAGAGAACTGAAAGTTAAGTATTTCTTTGAAGGAAAGGTTGCTGGGCAGTATCTATCATCCAAAAATTGCTTGAATGAACTGAAAAGGGGATTAAATTTGTGAGTATTGCTGTGATAATTGAAGTATTGGCATCAGTACCAGGACAGATATGGGAAATCTCTTTATAATGATGGTGCTCTTCATAGTATTGCTTGTTTGCTTTTTTAAATCCTTGAAGTGAACACGTGTCTTTTGATTAAATGACAAAGTAATAAAAAGAATTCACTGCTTGAGTCTGTTCCTTCTGTGGTGTGATTTCTTTTCTGCAGTGTGTGATTGGCCATGGGCAAGCTGTAGCTGCACATTATAATGAGCTTCAAGAAGTTGGATTGGAAAAACGTAGCCAGTCTCGCATATTCTACCTCCGAAACTTTAATAATTGGACAAAAAGTGTCCTCATTGGTAAGTTTCCTTATAACTGATTGCTCAGACATTATTAAAATGTAATTAATTTTTGCATCAAAATAGAACTTTTTCTGTTTTCTGATATTGAGTATGACACTTTGTCTCATAATACATAGTAAGTTTTTCAACTGCAATAAAATGTCTATATTTATCTTTCCTTTGAATCTCTGTGATAGCATTTTGTATTGTTGAAGCACCAAGCATATGCTTAAGTTTTAAAGGTCAACTGACTTTAAAAGTTCATGCTGGAAACTGTTCTTCTCTATGACATTTTTAAAGAGAAAAGTACAGTTTTAAATCATAAATAATTTAAGTGTTCTTAGATTCAAACAAGAGCAGCACAATCTATCTCAAATAATTTCTGAGGCATTTTCCCTAAGCAGTCTCTGGTCAGATCCTGCTGAAGCACTTCTGCAGAAAGCTTGAACACATAAATATTTTTTTATATTACCCATAGTCAGTGGTTGAAAAGATGGAAAGCTAAAGGATGTACTTCTTTAAGAATCAGTGGGTATTTATTTAAAGGCAAAGTCTGCTGTTCCACAAATTAATTCCAAATTGAGGAAACAAAGCCATCAGATATCTGCCAACAAAGAAAAGAATCATCAGCACAGCACCACAGGTTCATGAAGAGGGATCTGTGCCAGGAGATGTTGGCACCATTTGTCTTAGCATGCTGCTTTTTGTTGTGTTGTATCAGCGCAGTTAGAAGCAATATTTAGGTTTCTATAAAGCTGTTCCTGAAGCCTGTGTTGAAGCCTTTCTGTCATAAAGAATTTCAGCAGTGTGACTTTATAGCAGTTGTATCAAAACATATTTCATGTCTCCTACTGTGAAGAAAAGTTGCTAGCATGCTGATATGTTTTACATAATATGCCAACATCAGTCAGAGCAGAGACAATCTAGACAGTGCAGAGAGAAAAGAAAAAATGTAACTGGTGTATGTAGGGTAGAAAGACAGCAAAGGAGTAGCTACTGTTATTGCAAGGCCTGGGAGAGTGACTGAAAAACATACATTTTTGTAAGGTGACTGGGAGGAGATGTTGTGGCTGATGCATTTAATTGGCTTTTACTGTTTGCAGAAGGCTTTCCCATGCTTTCAAATAACATCTGCCTTCATTATAATGCTAATGAAGGCGAACCATGTTTCCTTCCTCATGTATGGGGCTTAGCCATGTGCAGTTTTGCTTTAGCCAGGGAAACAGTTCAGAGCCTCACTCAAGTTACATGCAGAGCACATTAAGCACAGAAAATATTCATCTCCACAGTTTTAAGAGTTTATGGTTCCTTTCATCCTTCTAGAAAGAAAAGAGATTTAAGTTTGTAATATTAAGAAGATTTATAGGCAAAGTAAGGTCTGAGGTGTTTTAAAATTCATCCCCTTTTGGTTTTTTCGGCTTTTAGGTGCCATACAAGTGCAGAGATTAGGTGCAGAGATGTGTTTACATGCTCCTGGTTTTTATTTTTCTAGGTGAATTTATAGACCGGGTACGACAGAAGAAGAGTGATATAACTGTTTTGGATCTAGGATGTGGGAAAGGAGGAGACTTACTGAAATGGAAAAAAGGCAGAATTAAAAAACTCGTCTGTACTGGTAAGAAGATGACTTTCTAGGGAAGGTACATCAGGTTTTTAGGAAACCAAGTACATCTCCAGTATTTTATTATTTCTATTTTTCCAGTCAATCAAAGAATGTAATGATCACCTTTTGTGCAATAAGTTGTCTTTTGTCTTTTAATCTGAAGATACGGCTTGATTGCCAGCAGAAATATAAGAATCATCAATATTTAGTTTTCAGTTCAACTCCTAAATAAAAACTGGTATCACTAAAGAAAAACACCGTTATCACAGGTTGCCTTGGGCAACAAGGGGGACTGGGGGAAAGACTGACATTTTTTATTTTATGTCTTTTCTCCCACATTTAGTCTCCTGTAATATTTTTAATTGTTCTGAAACACATACGGAAGAGTTGCATTTAAAAAACCAAATAAACCCCCAGTGTTGTGAGAAAAAATGATCTTGGATGTTACAATTAACTAAAGTTTTTCATACTCAGAAATGGGGAAGAGCTGAAAGCTGATTTAAAAAAATTTCTTGTTCGAATAATTGGCTTAGATGTTGGGAGAATGATACCGTCTTCCCTTTTCTTAAAAGGTATCCCAAGAATAATTAGAGGAAGTATTATTTAATTCCAAATTTAATTAGATACTAAAATTCCCTAAAACTCTTTCAGTGGGAATTTTTATTTTGGGTACTTCACGTTTTACAGTGGGTAGTATTCAAATACACTTAATCAATTTTCTTACAAAGTTCTTAGGTAAATTTATTGTGTATTGTCAGAAACTCAGTGACTGAGAAAGAAGCAGTCTTAGAACTTTAAAAAATTCCCATGGTGTGACATGTCAGAAATAATTGCATTTTAACATCTTTTATATTTTTAAGAATATTAAGAATCCCAGGGAACTGAGCTGTTTTAATGGAGCTGAAGATAATTTTTTATATCCCGCCATATTGTACCTTCTGTGTTCCAGTAATCATTCCAACTTTCTTGTCTGGGGAGCAGTGTACACACTAACAAAAATTTCATTTATTGTATTTATTGTCTTTCCATACATAGACATTGCTGACATTTCTGTGCAACAGTGCAAGCACCGCTATGAAGAAATGAAATCCCGATGTCGGTATAATGAACATATTTTTGATGCAGAATTCATACAAGCAGATAGTACCAAGGTACAGTTTCTGTGCTTTGTAATATTTTGGAGATTTAATGTTCTTTATGGTAGTGCTGTTAACGTTTTGGATATATATATTTTTAAGGTTGGATTATTCTCCTGTACTATGGTTATATTCTCCTGTATTACGGTTATATTATTCTCCTGTAGTGCCAGGAGAATCAGCTGTAGGGGTTACTGGAAGGTTGCTTAAGATTACCTAAGTGCTTTTTGCTGCTGTTGTATAGTGTAACATTCCTGAAGCCTTTCCTGAACATCTTTTCCGATAGTAAATCTAGTGCTTTCACTGTCCTTTACTTGACAAGGGGAACAGAATGACTGTTTAGCTTTGGAGTTCTGTGATACAGCATGGGGTGTTGGAAACTATTTTGGTGAATGCTGGAATAAAAAAAGAGCCTTTTCTGATTTGACTTGTACACTTAGAATTTTTTCTTTCCAGTGGCGTTTTGGTTACTATAATAGGTATCTTTATAAACTTGTGTGGTAGAGCAGATTTCTTAGACTGTCTGGAGGCAGTGGTGAATGCATGGTTGAATGACTTAGGAGGCACTCTTGTAAGTAGAACTTCTTTTGCTTCCTTGCAGTGCAGGCTGAGAGTAACCTGCTGATGAAGGCTTAGAGACGAAACCTGCTAGGTTCCAGCATATCTGTGGAAAAGCTGAACCTGTTCTCAGCCTTGCATAAAGGATTGTTTGCTTGAATTCTTGGTTGTCTTTCCTTCTTCTGAGAAGTAGTCTGTTGCAGGTTTGTGTCATCTCTCGACTTGGGGGAGAAAGAAGAGAAACTTGACCAGGAAGGAAAGAGATATTTTCATGTTGCTTTTACAGCTCAGTCTTACATGCATATGTATTTTCTGTTGCATGCTTTGCTCTGTCTGTCCTTGCACAAAAAAGTTAATTTCCCTGACTTTGGGTCTCTATCATTAATGTTGTATATTCTGCAAAATCTAATTCTGTCCACCTCTTTTTCTCGTTCTCCTGTGTCTTTCTCTATGGCTGCTGAGTACAGAGTCGAAGCAGGCTTTAACCTGACAAATTCCAAGGGCTCCAAGTTCTTCAGATGTTAGTTACTTGGTCTGGGATGGGGAGGAGTATGTTGGTGATGAACATGGGTGAGAATACAGGCAGGTACAACTCGTTGGACAGGACAAACTACCATATTTGAAACCTCTTCTCCTCTCAAGTGCGTGTTTAATGGGTCAGTTTTCATTACAGAGACTTAGTAAACGAAATTCATTTTATTACGGATTTTTTTTTTCCAGCTAGATGGTGGCCAGTTATAAAACTCCAGCAGTAAAGTACTTCTGGAAACTATAAGTTAACTAACCTTGGGATTTGGTCTTCCAGGTGTAGCAGTGTTACTTGACAACACAAAAAAAATTTGAGGTCATTATAACTTTGAAATGTGTGTGTATTCTTGTTGTTTCTAAATGTTGTGTATGGTTTTCTGTGTAGGGGAGAGCCTTTTCTTATTCTTATCTTTTTCATCTTGTCTTTGTTGAACTTGTAAAGGAATGGGAGCTGAAAGGAGAAGCTTCAAAGAATTATGAAGTAGTACATTTGTTAGAAGATTTAAATTAATCGTGCTTGTTTCTTTTTCCTTTTTTATCTGTTGCAGGATCTCTTGTCTTCCAAGTACAGTGATCCAGATATGCGCTTTGACATTTGCAGTTGTCAATTTGTTTACCACTATTCATTTGAGACTTATGAGCAGGCTGACATGATGCTTAAAAATGCTTGTGGGAACCTCTCTCCTGGAGGTTATTTCATTGGCACAACTCCAAATAGCTTTGAACTTGTGTAAGTACTCTTACGTCCTGTTAGTCTTCCAAAACTGTGAAGCATTGTTAAATGATAGGCGTTCTTGCAGTGCTCCAATATGTTTGTGCAAACAAAAGCAATTTTTTGGCAACAATTTTGGATTCTAGTAGAAAAAATCTCACTCGTGAACTTGACTCAAACAGATAAAATTCTAACCTGTGTCGCTTGTTCTCATGGCCCTTCTGATGGGGGTATGGATCATCATACACTTCATCCCTCTGTCATGATTTTAAGAGTGTCAAAATGGCCACAGCCTGGGGAAAAAACTGTCAAGGTTTTGTGGTTGTTTCCAGAGGCCTGTCTTGTCCATGTAGATTGTCTGTTTGACCAGGCTAAAGGCTAATCTTCTAGGTCCATTTAGTCCTTGGTATGTTCTATGGGAATGATAACCTGTTAAAACCCAGTATGCTGCTACATTTCATTGTTTCATTGCCTATGAGATAAGGGAAGTGGGAAACTACAGAGATCACTAATTATTACTGGGAGAAACACTTTCAGGCTTCCTATGTTTAGTTTTCTCTGCCTGTTAAATACTGGTCAATAAATGTTTGTTTATATCTCATTCTATAGAAAGAGACTCGAAGCTTCGGAAACAAATTCGTTTGGGAATGATGTGTACAATGTGAAATTTGAAAAGAAGGGAGACTACCCCTTATTTGGCTGCAAGTATGATTTCCACTTGGAAGAAGTGGTTGATGTCCCTGAATTTTTGGTTTACTTTCCCTTACTGGAAGAGTAAGTTAAGTTTTAAATTCATTATACAATGAAAGCTGTGGAACATAATAAACATTTGTTTAGTTTATGTGTCATTGCATAATGCTTGCAGAAAATTATGGTTTTGCTTTCTTATTATATTTTTCAGTTCCTAATAATTTGTTGTTGCTTCAAATACAGAGGTTTCTTGCATTTCCATCCACAACTGTAAACTGTCCATTGAACTTTGTTGAAGGTGCTCTGGTCAGAAGCTGTAAGGACTTAAACTTTGTCTCACAAGGGAACATCTGATATATTGGATCTGTCAGCAAACCTTTAGAACTGTCAGCTTTTTCTTCTTTAATTGTAACTTTTTGAGGGGTTTCTTTCTACCCCTTTTTTAGTATTTCAGTAAACTTTCTTGTGTATCTTCATCATGGTGCCTCTTTCTTGTCTTCTCCACTTTTCTTTAGATGTTCATGGGATTTTTGCTGTGATGAATTTTTTTCTTCCTCTAAATCATCTTCATCTGTGAGCATATATTTTGCTGTTACCTCTGTGTGACCTCAGATTTGGTTTTACTAGCTGTATCCTGAGGTACAGACAAATCTTTGCATACTGTTTTTTTCCTGCCATTGAAGCTCAGTATGGTTAAACTGTATTAAGCTTTCCTTTCAAGCCTGTTCAACAACTTCATTTGTAGTTGTCCGTGAAAAATAACAGCACCTGTCACTGACAGCTTAGTGTTGCATGTCCACGGTGTCTGCATATAATTGAGATGTTAGCCACTAAATGTAATAGAGAGAAGTTCTCTAAATATATTATTAAATATCTGACATAATAGATACTGCAGGGAAAAGTGAAGTCTTTCTGGAAGTCCACATGGAACTTTTGTGTTTTGGGAGAAGAGACCTTTTTTATGAAAATGTTTGTAAATTACTTCTGTGTAGATTTTTGTTCTAGTTTAAAAAAAAATGTACAGTTTGTGGTGGTACTGCAGCTATTTTCATCTAAATGTCTTTACTAAGAGAAAAAAGCTGTAAAACAGTGTAATCCTAGTCAAAACCATAAGATGTCACTGTGGCTTAAAATTGTTCCTTTGGAAATAAAGCTACAATAATTTTGCGACTTCCTTAATAAAGCTGATTATTTTGACAGAATGGCAAAGAAGCATGGTATGAAATTAGTCTACAAAATGACATTTCGGGAATTCTATGAAGAAAAAATCAGGAACGAGGAGCATAAAATGCTGTTAAGGAGAATGCAGGCCTTGGAGGTAAATTTGGAGTTGATTGATTTCAATAGCATTTTACAACTTGTTAATTTTTGTGCAATAATTGAAATTCCCTTTGTGAATTAATATTGAAAATAATTTAAGGCTACTAATAGAAAGCATTTAGTTCCTGGGCCTGAAAGTTTGACTGTGGTTGTTGACCTTGACTGGCTGCCAGACCTCCAGTGACCTGCACTCTTGTTCCCTCTTCCCAACAGGATGGGGGGAAAAAATAGAAAAAAAAACTTGTGGGTCAAGATAAATTCAAGGAGATTGCTTAGCAATTACTGTCACAGACAAAACTTGGAGAAGGTTAATTTAATTCATTGCAAAAAAAAAAAAATAGTAGAAAGGTGAGAAACGTAAAACCTAAAAACATCTTTGTCCCACCCACTGCTTGTTCCCAGGCCCAGCTTCATTTGTTCACTCCTGACCTTTCTACCTCCTCTCCCTTTCTGGGCAGGGGAAGGGGGACTGTGGTCTGTTCATAACTCTTTGCCTCTCCTTCCTCCTCACACTCTTCTCTTGGTCCAGCATAGGTCAACCCAGTAGATGATTCATGTTTTGAAGATAATATTTCAATATTGAGGCAAGTTTCTGTTCTTATGAAGTAGGAAACAGAAGCCCAAGAATCATGCGAAGAGTCAGATAGTGGTGACTGTCATTTCTTCCTCAGCAGAGAGACTGAAAGCTGTATTTTTGTGCAAGGAATATTGACTGAAAAGACAGGAATAAAAGGACAGTCTGTGTTCATAGAAGAAAATGGTGCTTAACTGAGCATATGGTTTTGCCCAATGTTTTTGCATTTTTTTTATCCTCAGGCTCTTACCTTTGATGGCTTTAGCAGCTTCAGAGAAGCTTTTCCAGGCCACCTCTTAGACTTTGGTTTTACTTACAGTTCTCTGTGCTTCCCTCCTCCCTCAAACAGTAGAATTCTTCAGCAGAAAGCTCTCAAATCAAGTAATTGGTAACTTACTCAACTGAGTCACACACTGCAACTTGACTGCACTTGTTGACTCTAGAAGTGATGGTGCTGTGTATGGGCTCACACTGGCAGTAGCACAGAGACACAGCTTCTGACTTACCATCTGCTTAGGAAAGTGAGAGTTGTCTTAAGGTAGTGGCCACTTACACCTGAGGACTGAATTGTTACAAGCAGATTTATTTACAGAGATCACTAGTAACTGGGATCCTTAATAAGTGCATCTTAGTTTTGAAGAACCTGTTGTATACTTCTTTTACAGTTTGTGGTGTTATTGAAACCTTTTAATTGTTCTTGAAATTGTAGTTGTCTATTTCTTAGTAGTTCTGATGAAGAGATGCTGGTATAGTTGCTCTTCTAAAAGAAGATATATCTGGGTAATGCTCTTAATGAGCTGTACTTGAAGGAAAAGCTATTCTGTTTCCCCTGCTTTAGAGACATAACTTAATGTAAAAATGAATTAAACTTAATTTATAAGTCTTGGGTGTCAGATTTTCTGGTAATTAGGGAACATCAGACCTGTTCCTAAGGGTGGTGTAAGGGAGAGACCTAAATTTAAAATATTTTTAAGACTTACTGACCTCTGTCATGGACTGTGTTGTAACAAACCCATTACTTAAGGTGATTAATGTATCTCACTACTCAATGTTTTGTTCTGTTTTCTCCAGCCATATTCTACATTTGGTGATTCCAGGCTTGTTTCTGATAAACCTGATGATTATGAGCATGCAAAAGAGTTTGTCAAAGATGGCAAGGCAAAGTTACCATTGGTAAGTTCCTTTATACTTCAACTGGAGATAATGGTGTCTTAAAATTGTCTTTCAAATGTGTCTTTCAAACTGTGGTGCCTTCTTTATTTCAACTGCAGTGAAGTGGGTATGAGTGTCTCTTTGCATGTGAAGAATTGTAGAGCTTCAGGGCTGAGGGGTTCATCTAATCTATATCCCATACTCAGAGAATCAAATTCACTTAATTTGGTAGCTGTTAAGAAAGTTGTAATAATGCAGAAGGGAAAGGATATTTTTTTCCATCTTACTTCACAGTTGTTCTTTCTAACTATTCTTAATTTGAGGAATCTTCTTATATTTCTGGATCTTCACAATACTGATTTAAAGTATTCGTTCCAATCCTCTGATGGGAGATTTCAAAAGCTTTCTTCATAACACTGTATATATTTGAAATCATTCTTTCCATTTTCATCAATACAGCATGAGGGTGATTAGCCTAAAGTTTTTCCACTTGGTTTTGCTGTTTGGGTTTTTGGTTTTTTTTAATCATTGGTTTGCTGTTAACATTCTGAATTCTTGAAGATGTAGTTCTCTTATTGCATGTATAAAAATCCTGCATCAAGAGAGAAAAGAAACTTGAAATTAAAAAGTATTTGACAAGAAAAATGCTTGTTTTAAGAAATAGGCTTGAGAACATGAGAACAACCAAGTCAGACCAAAGACATCTGTTGCCAAGTGCTGTTTTAAAAGGTGAACTATTTGGTCAGGTTTGGTCACTGGGTAGCATATGGGCTAAATTATGGCCTTGGTGAGAACTCCTTGGATGGGAATGGAGAGGGCAGAGCAGAAAATCAGCTTCTTATTGTTGCCTTATGTTTCTTAAGTGGTGGGGTAAATGGCAGCAGCTTTTTTTTTGTGACTTGCCCTGCTTTCATCTGATCAGCTGAGCTGGGAGTTTCCTAGGCTGGAGGGCAGGCTGTTTTTCCAGAATGTGTGGGTGAGGGTGAGAGTTAGTCTCTTGCAAATAACCTTGCTGTGGGCTGTGGGGTGTTGTTGGGTGGAGGCAGGCAGTGTTCCTAAGGAAGGTGGCAGCACCATGGTGTAGGGCCTTTCCTTTACTAAGGGGCCTTTTCCTGGCTTCTGCACCATACTGGGCATCTCGGTCTGAGCAGCAGCTGTAGCCAGGTCATGTCACACTGTGTGTCCTGGTGTTGGTAATGGACACAGGCATGCTCTGCATTGCAGAGGCATCCAGACCAACAGACTTGGCCCGTTCTCCTGTGCCTGTTTAATTTAGGAGTGTTCCATTATTTGAGTCTTGCAGTTCCAGACCATCATAGTTGGTCGAGTTATAAGTATCTGTAGTCTACAGTAATGCTTTTCTTGCCCCTAAATAGCCAGTCATTGTGGGTGGTTAGACATTGGTCAGTGAAAGATGGAGCTAAATCAGTGTTTTATTGTTTCCTTATTTTTTGTTGAAACTGTGGGTTTTTTTCTCCCCTTCTAGGGAACCTTGAGTAAGTCTGAATGGGAAGCAACAAGTAAGTCATGGTTTTGAAAACAGTAATGACTGAATGACTGCTTTGAAAAGTGTGTCAAATAGCCTGTTAGTCATGGAAGAAAATCTGGATTTTAAATATAATAAGATGTTGCATTTTGTGTAATTCAGAATGTCAGTGTATTGATTATGTAGTGTGCACATCTCAAGAAATTGGGAGGGAAATGCCTAAGTGCAGCCAACCAGGATTTGCATTTTTGATGGCCATTATACTGGTTGTGTTAGTAGTTTAAAAACAAAAAATGCTATTTACTTCCCAGATGAGAAGAATCTTCACTCTGCTTTCTTAAATTATTGTCTAATTTTTGAATTTATGAATTATAAGGTAGACATAAATTCCAGCAATCTAGAAGTATTATCTCAATTATCTGAGAGGGACTTTTAATTTAATTTTATACCTTTTCATACCTAAAAAAAAGATTTATACCTTTAAAAGTTCAGTGATTACTGTGTTTCCTAAGTAGTCTATTCTTCCAGAAACATTTGGAGTATTGAGCTTCTGATAAGAGTATAAGCACACCTTGTTCCTTACATGGAACTTTGCATTGTTGCTGAGGAATGTCTGATAAGCTTGTCTTGAAAGATTTGCAAGTAGCTATGGCACCTCATTCACTAAAATAAAAGTTGAATTCAAGTGGAAATCTATAAATGTTTAATTAAGCCTGTGGACTCAAGTAACTGGTCTAACATACCTGTCTGGTATGGAGCACAAGAGCATCTGGCATAGCTGGAATTGATTATATACCAACTAAGAGTTTTCCAAGGGTGCTGGTGTAGACTGTACGAGTATCTATTAATAGAATCATACTGTTTTGGACTTGAAAAAATGCTATAATTTCATCTTTGTCCATCAAAGTTTAAAAGAGCAAAATTGATAATATGTATCATGGATTCATTCACTTTTCAATTAAAAAATAAAGTTAATTTCAATCCTGATTGTCTATTACTGCATGTATGAAGGAGTCTTTAAACTTAACTTGCAATTGACTTTTTATGTGCTAGTGAATGTTCATTGTATGTAGAATGGCACAGTAATTTATGAATTTCATTTACATTTCTGAAAACATGTAAAACTATACTAGAGTGGAATGCTAGAGTTACTCACTAGAAAATCGTAAGATCTTTTGTAATTTCAGTGATCTGCTAAGAGGTTGTTTGGGCATAATGTCAACCTGGTTACATTTTTTAAACTTAATTGAGTCACCGAGAAACCTGAAACTTGAAATACTCCATTTTCTTTTTTAGGTATTTACTTGGTATTTGCATTTGAGAAGCAACCGTGAAACTTCACAAACTGGATGCAGCAAGAAGAGATCATATCCATGTGCAAGTTGGAATGATCAGAAATCCATTGTGGCAACTATTTTTTTATTTTTTATTTTTTAATTGTCAGACGTGTGCAGGACACTACCAAAAACTAGAGCAAGTTCGTGATTCCGAGTTACATTGCCTGTCTGTGACAGATGGACTTGTGTGTGTGTATATAAGAAAGATTCTGAACCAGTCTTTTTAAACATTTGTAAGCAATCTGCATACTCTCAAAACCTGTGTTTGAACTCACATAACTTTGTTGGAAACAAATGTTTTGTTTGTAGAAGTATGTTTGTGAGTACAAGCCTGACCCTGCACTTTCTGAAGTTGATGGAAGAATGTTGACTTCGATAATGCAGAATGAGGGCCTAAATACTGTTCTGCAGAGATCAGTTAATTTATAATGAAATCTGTTCAGCATAGAGGGTATGTCTACATTGCATGCAGAACCAAAAACTACCCGAGTCAATTTGAGAACCTCTCTGCTGTGCTCAAGCCTGCATTGTAAATCTACCTTAGTGGTATTCATGGTGTAGTTTACATGGTAAAATCCCATGATGTTCTTGTTTTTCCTTGCTTGCTGATATGTAGTGTCACTTCATGGTGCTTTTAAGATTAAAGAAGTTTGTTCTGTAAAAAACTGCTCAGAAAGTACTGAATTTCTAATGTTTTAGGTCTCTACTTTGTTTTCCAAATATGGCTATGCGGTAATCAGTAACAGCTGCTTAAATTAGATTACTGAACATTTTTTATTGTATTAAAGACTTTCCTGACTTTTCAATAGTTTTAGTGTTTTTTGAAACTTACTAGACAGATCTTAGGGTGTCCTTCTTTTTTTGTTTCATAAAATTCCAAATGGGCTTGGCAATAGGATGAGCTGTTGGTGGTGATGGGGACCTCATTGCAGTCTTAAGGCATTAAAAACATGGTCATGTCATGGATCATGAACCAGAAGGGGAGCCTGTGTAATATTTGAGGATACCAGCAGTTCCCTCTGGAGGGTAGGGTATGTGCATATATACTCTGGTACCTGTGGGTAACAATCCCCAAATTTGAGTCACATATTTTGTTTGAGAATGTAATCAAATTATGCCAGTAGGCAAAACTGTGCCTAACTACCATCACAACTGCTTGTTAGTCTCTTAGAGCTGGCTTAGGGATTTCTGTACAGTGTCTCTGCTCAACTTTCCATGTGCTTGTAGCCACCTATTACTGAGAAGACCTGAATACTTCATGTTTTTTCCCTCCAGTTTTGGGCTAACGGAAGCTGATGGCTGCTGTTGGCTAATAGATTTAACATAGAGATAAAATGATGATGGTACATGAGTATTTCAAAAAGCTATAGCAAACCTAGAAGAGAACATTTCTGTTAAGACTTACATGTTAAATTTCTGTTTAGACTTAAATGGTCAAATTATAAGTTTTTAGTTGTATTGCTTTCCCCCTGTAATTAGGTTGTACTTTCCTCCATGACTTCTTTTTATTGTCTAGAAGAACACCTTCACTGAAGCAGTAGAATCTGCCAGTTCTGCTGCTGAAATTGACAAGATTCTTGTCTGCTAGATTAGTGCTCATGAAAGTAGCTAAAAATGATGGCACTTTAGAAGTGCTGAAATGTTTCTTTGAAATTTGTGTGCATCAAAGCTAGTTTTGTTGGATTTCTTGTATCAAATTTCATTTAAAAATACATTGTTATGCTATTTTTGGAAGAAATAAGAATAATAAAAACAGAGGGAATACGGTGGACTACCTTTCCTCTTTTAAGTGAATCTTAACATATCAATCACATAATGATTGAGTTAGGAGGGACCTCTGGAAGTCATTTGGTCAACCCCCACCCCTCCCCAAGCATGTTCACCCCGAGCTGGTTCCCCAGGACCTTGTCCAGACAGCTTTTGAACAGCTCCAAGGGCGAGGACTCCACAACCTCATGGGGCAAGCTGTGCCAGTGCTTGGTCACTCTCACAGTAAAAGTTTTCTGGTGTTCAGAGGGAACTTCTTGTGTTTCAATGTGTGTCCACTGCCTCTTGCCCTGTCACTGGGCACACAGAAGAGGCCCTGGACCCATCTTTACAAGCTCCCTTTGGGCATTTGAATGCATTGATAAGATTACTGCCCTGAGCCTTCTGGCTCCTGATCTCCCAGCCTTTCCTTGTATGAGTGATGTTCCAGGATTTTGAATGCAATTAGACCCAGTGTCAATTCTTGGCATATACTGTTGGTGTTGGACTTTGTTTCACCAATCACCACTCTCTGGGACTGGCTACTCAGACAGTTTGCAATCCTCCCTCTCTGTGTATCCAAGATGGTGTTAAAGTAGACTATCCACTGCTTTTCCATCATCAAGCCAGACATTTATTTTCTCATAGAAGTTTGTACTGTTGGTTCAACATGACTTCCCTTTGATGAATCCATGCTGACTATTCTGATAATTTTCTTGTTCATGTGCCTGGAAATAATTTCCAGTATCTCTTGTTCAATCTATTGTTCATTGAGGTGAGGGTGGTTGTACTGTAGTTCCTTGGATCATTTTCCTTGACCTTGAGGATAGGAGCAGCATTTGCTTTCCACCAGTCTTTGGACACCTCCTATCAGTATTCAAAGATCCTTGAGAGTGGCCTCATGTTGATAGCTGTTATCTCCCTCCTTACTTGTGGGTGCATCCCATCAGGGTTCATGGACTTACACAGGTCTAACTTGCTTAAGTATTTCCTGACCTGATCTTTTTTAACTGAGGACCCATCTTCCTTGTTCCAACTTTTGGTTCTGGTCTCTGGGCCTGAGATTCTTGAAAGGCCATTGTTCTTGTAAAGACAGAGGTGATGAAAGCATCTGTCGTTTCCATGCTCTTTGGCATAAGTGCTCCTGTCCCATTCTGCACTTTTTTCCCAGTCTTCCTGTTTTGTTATCCATACACATGTAGAAGCCCTTGTTGCCTTGAAAATGTCTGGCCTGATTTAATTCCAGGTGGGCTTTTGGCTCTCCTACCTGCATATTCCTAGTAGGTCATGTGTCTGTCCTTCCATCCCCTGTATGCTTTCCTCCTGTGTCTGAATTTAGTCAGGGGCTCCATATTCATCTGCACAGGTCTCCTGGCATTTTTGCCTGGCTTCCAATTCATGGGCATAGACCTCTTAGTCTTAGAGGAGGTGATCTTTGAATAATAATCAGCTTTATTGAACCCCTTTCCTCCAGGGTGTTATCCCATCAGATTCTACAATGCAGACATTTGAAGAAGCAAACATCTGCTCTTCTGAGGACTGACGTGCTTGGTTTTTGCTCTGCTAATACATCTCAGGATCCTAAACTCCAGTATCTCATGCTCACTGCAGCCTAGGTTGCCTTTGACCTTCACATCCTCAACAAGCTCCTTGTTGGTGGTATGAGGTCCCAGAGAGCATCTCTGGTTCCTCCATCACTTGGGTCAGGAAGTCATTGATGCTCTTCAGGAACCTTCTTAATTGTTTTTATCTTGCTGTGTTATTCTTCCTGTAGCTGTTGAGGACCAGGGCTGTAGATTTGGAGCTGCTTCCAGTGTAGAGAACTTCATCCACTTCTCTCTGTTCAGGTCTTGTAGCCAATTATCTTGAAGCCAATAACCACTAAAATGTCACCTGTACTTGTCACCTCTTTAGTCTTTACCCTGTAAAAAAATCTCTTCAATGCAGGGTTTCAGTTATCTCACCATTCTCCCTGCTTCCAGAAAGATCATAGCCCTGATCAGCAACATTTCCTGATAAATACCTGTCTTCCCAGGAAAAGCATATGACTTTAGAGAAGCAGCTAAAGGTGAGCAGAGCATTTAGGTTCTCAGGACTGCAGATGAGACATTGAAGATGGGGGAGTACTAAAGTTATCTGAGCTGGATGATTTTTTGCAATGAAAGGAATTTTGGTAATCTCCTGAACTAAGAAGCTGGAGGAGTGATACCTGGTGCTGCACCAATTAAGTGGTTCCATTTTCAAATTCACTTTACACAATAAAGGAAATCAGAAATGGTAACTGAACTTTGCAGGTCATTTTGTCTTCTCTCAACTAAGTGGTGAAATGTATCAGTTGGGAATACAGGCTAGAAAACGTGTAACCTTTTTCTCTAGTTTATTCCCTAATGGCAAACAGTTGAGAACTGTGCCCAACTCAAGTGGTGTAGCATGTAGTTGCAGGGGAAGGCCAACAGAGCTGAGAAACTGTTTTGTGCTTGGGTTAAGTAGATTCCTTGCTGCAGGAAACGCCTCAGTTTGCTGTGAAAATGTATGTATAAAAACCCTGTAGTAAAGAAGAGGTAATTGTTCCTTTTTTAGATATTCTGAAACCTTATAGCAAAATCGATGCAATGAAATACTGTGGAGGAAATGTGTGATATCAGTGCTGTATTGTAGAAGTTTCCTTTTGTGATTTACACACCAGAGTGGTAGAAATTGCTGCAAAACACTTGAGCATGTGCTGTGTTTCATGCTTAAGTTTTAAGCAAATGCTTAAGCAACTATGTTGCCTGATGGAAGGTCTTTGATTGATATAAGGAGACAGACTTTGAGAATGGTTTTGGTTGGAAGCGACCATAAAAATAATCTAGTTCTATGTCACAACGTGAGGCAGTGGAGTGCTGCAACCTACTGGAGAAGTGTCCTAAGAAGGACGTCCTCTGGGCACAGGCACGTCCTCTCTCCTGGGTGGAGAGTGATTTCAGCTCTTCTATGAGATCCCTTCTTCAGCTGACACTGGAGGAAGGGACAGGAGCCACGTGTGGTGATCCAAGGCAAAGCTTTATTCTTCTTTTCTTGAAGGAGTCCAGGGACAAACCGGCTCAAGGGGTCTGAGGGAGCAGGGTTGATACAGGAGAGCGAGGGGTCGTTGTAGAGCAGCAAACGAATCATCTGAGGGCACAGGGGAGGTACAAAGGGGGAAGGGTCAATGGGGTGCAGGCAATTTACATGAAACAGGGAGGCATGCCGGGAGTAACCTTATTGTAACCATTACAAAAGTGCCTAAGGACATTCCCTCCAGGGGAGAGAGATAAACTCTCTTACTGTTAGGCTTTTGGCCTCCACAGTTCTACCCTCCTTTCTGTGGCCTGGAACACCTTTCACTAGAACAGGTTGTGCAGACTTCCATCCAAGCTGGCCTTGAGCACTTCCAGGGATGAGGCACCTATAAATGCTTTGGGCAGCCTGTTCCAGTGTCACATCACCCTGAAAACAAAGAATATCTTCCTAATATCTAATTCAAATCTACTCTCAGTTTGAAGGTATTTCCCCTTGTTCTGCCACTACATCCCCTTGTAAAAAGTCCCTCTCCATCCTTTTTATAGACTCCTTTTGCACACTGGAAGGCTGCTCTATGCTCTAAGGTCACACCAAAACCTCTTTTCCAGGTTGAACAATTCCAGTTCTCTCAGCCTTTCCTCACAGGAGAGGTGCTCCATCCCTGTGGTCAACTTGGTGGCCTCCCCTGGACTCACTCCAACAGATCCATGTCCTTCCTGGGCTGGGGACCCCAGAGCTGGATGCAGCACTGCAGGTGGGGTCTCACCAGAAATAAGCAGAGGGGCGGAATCCCTCTCTGCTGGCCACACTGGCTTGGATGCAGCCCAGGATTCTGTTGGCTTTCTGGGCTCCTAGCACGCATTGCTGGCTCATGCCCAGTCTCTCATCCAGCAGAATCCCCAAGTCCTTCTTGGCAGGGCTGCTCTCAATTTGTTCCTCTCCCAGTCTCTATCCATACTGGGGGTTATCCTGACCCAGGGGCAGGACTTTGCCCTGGTCTTGACCCTCATGAGATTCT